TAATATTATATTGCAAAGAGCTTATAAGTCTTGCGAAAGCTAAAGTATATTATAAATACTTAATCGTAAACTTCTCGGACGAATAACGAGCGCAAGTTTTAAACGTTAAAAATTAATAAACGGCCGTTATAAAGCAGCAAATCGCTTTTTATAATAAGTTTAGCTCGTGAATCGTAGTTTACGAATAAAGACTTAGCTTTAAAAGCTTGAATTCGAAGTGTTATAAAACTAAAAGCGGTTTAATTAACTTTTAAAACTTAATTAATAACTTAAAATATCGGTAAAAGCTTCGCGATCTTTTCGGCGATAACGGCAGTTTTCGAAAGCGTAAGCTAGCGTAGCTTTTCGATTAAGAATCGTAAGTCAACGTTATCGGCGCGGAGCAGCGTTTGCAAGCGTTAAGTGCGCTTAAAGCTGTTTAAAAAAAAAAGCTTTTCGATGCGACGTATTAGCGCGTTAGCTAAAAAGTTGTTTTTATTTAGTTTATATATAATAATAAAGTTGTAATCGGAAAGGAGCTTTGCTTAGCGTGCTTAACAGGCGTTAAAGATCTTAAAGGTCATAAAGTATTTTAAGGCTTTATAATCGGTGATTACTTAAATTTAATAAAAAAAGCCGGCGAATTCGGCGCGGAAGTTATTAAAAGAACGTATAATAGCTAGTATTTTTTTATCGTAAACGACGTAATTAAGCTTAACGAAAGCTATAGTTTTAAAATAATAAACGATTAATAGCTAATCGGAATTATGCTTTTAAGAAAAGATTAAAGCGATTACGCCGTCGAAAGCGTTAATTTCTAATATATAAAAAAGGTTTTAATTATAATATTATAAGATTAGCGCAATAATTAAAGCGAGCTTTAAAAGGTCGAAGCTCTTTTAAAATTAAGAATTAAATGAAAAAGAAACGTTAGCTTTAATTAAATATATTAAAGGTTTTGCGATTACGCCGTAATTTCGAATAAATCGGCGGTAAAAGTTATAAAATCTAAAGAAGCTTTAAACGCTTTTAACGGTTATAAAAGGCGCTTAATGCTTTATTATCGAAGTTTTATTTAAATCTACTTTTAAGCTTTCGATAAAGATAATAAAGCTTAAGTATTTTATTTTAATAATACTGAATTCGCATTTTTTAATATTAGCTTAAAAGCTAGCGTCGTCGAATCGTTAGAAAACTTAACGAACGTAATAAGCGCGCTTTAAGAAGTTAAAAAAATAAATTAAAATATCGTTTAAATATGCCGTGCAAAAGATATTTAAGAAATCGAAAAAGAAATTATGTATATAGCGTTAATAAATAACGGGTTTATTAATTAAGCCGAATAAGAAAACCTTGCATTTATAAGTATCGTAGCGTGTTTTAAATATTATAAGTTCTTCGGAAGCTAAGTCTATTCGTATTTTATAAAAAGCTTGTTAAATGTCGAGTTTCGTAAAGATTCGAGCTTTTAAAAAACATGCGAAAATCTTATCGATTAAAAAGAAAAGGTATCGATCTTTACGAGTAAGATTATTTAGCGCGCGAAAATTAATATAAAAGCGAAAGGAATCGTTTTGCTTTTTAACGAAAAAAACTAAAGCTGCAAATAGCGCTATTAAAAGTTCGATAAAACTTTTATTAAAATTGTCGATAAAGTAAGCTTTAATAAGCTTTAGCTTAAAGATCGATATTTTATATAATAATAAGTATCGAAGCGCTTTCTCTTTCTTTTCGAAAAGCTCGATTTTATAATCGTAAAGCTTATATAATGCTAGCACGTTGCTAGCGGCCTTAAAAAATACGTATATATAATTTAAGTATTCGAAAAAGATAAGAAAATCGTTAATAAG